GGGCATGAGCGTGTCGGAGCGCATGCGGCTCAGCGGTGCATAGATGCGTACGCCAGTCAGCAGCACCACGTAGACGCTCACAGAGTCCTGCGGGCGAGACGCGTGAGGTGACGAGTGTTAGAGACGTTAAGGGGGGCTTATGTCGGGCTTGCGAGCCGACTCGACTGCAAGCAACTGGCTGCAATTCACTGCGACTGCAGTGCTTAGGTCGGTCGACTGCGACGCGACTGCCTGCGACTGGCCGCCACTAGTTGCTCGGAATAGAACAGTGGGCAACTGGACGCAACTAGTCGCTGCCGATCGCTTCCAGTTGCTCGAAATCCAGTTGCTTCCAGTCGAGTCGGCTCGCAAGCCCGACATAAGCCCACCTTTAGACGCGCGAGATTAGCCCAGGGAGCTCTGACGCGCGCACAACACGCAGTAGAGATTAGCTCGTGGGGAGGCGGGAGCTCCCACTCTGCGCACGCGCGCGATACACGTTATCGCAATAAGCATGGTAACACGCTTGACGCAAGATACGACACGGTACGAAACGCGGACTCGAGAGATCGGCCGACAAGAGTTTTGAGATCTGCGGTGACGCTTCGTGGTACGCAAAGAATAGATTTTAAGTTCCGGGAATCGATCAGTGTGCGTTCACTAAGGGAGGCTTTTTTTCTACAGCTTCGAAATTTGGCATAGAAAAGGTTGAATGCCTTATGTTGTATTTATAATATATCTAATCATTATGTTACTGCCACAGAATCTACTGAAAAAAATTACGGCGTCAACACTGAAGTGATTCTAATACTAAAATATTCGCGAGAGTGATTCTTTAAACCGAGTCTTGGTGGTACTAACCTGAGAGTAGACAGTTAAGGAACCTGTCTCGGGATCTGTACCCACAGCACGGCCGATCAGGGTAGTGTTGCCAAGCTTCAGGGCTTCCACCAGACCAGCCGAACTCACACCTGCTATCGCATCATCTTGCATAGCAAATTCTATGTTAGCCTGTGGCTGGGGCCCGCCACTGCTTGACACCTTTTCACGAAGGGAGGTGTGCGTTATGATATGATTGTAATCAATAAACATTTTCACTAAAATGCAATCCTTCCAGGGACGAGATTCACAAATACTCAAAATTAAAATTACCAATGTTTAGTCCAGAGACAGTTTTGCTATCACTGTTACAATCATTGCCTAAAGAGTAATGTATGATGAAGATACATCACTGTACAGTCACTGCCTAAAGAGTAATGTATGATGAAGATACATCACTGTACAGTCACTGCCTAAAGAGTAATGTATGATAGAGACACATCACTGTACAGTCACTGCCTAAAGAGTAATGTATGATGGAGAGACATCACTGTACAGTCACTGCCTAAAGAGTAATGTATGATGGAGATACATTACTGTACAGTCACTGCCTAAAGAGTAATGTATGATGGAGATACATCACTGTACAGTCACTGCCTAAAGAGTAATGTATGATGGAGAGNCTCTCTCTCTCTCTCTCTCTCTCTCTCTCTCTCTCTCTCTCTCTCTCTCTCTCTCTCTCTCTCTCTCTCTCTCTCTCTCTCTCTCTCTCTCTCTCTCTCTCTCTCTCTCTCTCTCTCTCGACTATGCTGCACTACCTTGTTGATAAGTAGGTTCTGTGGTTTGAGGTCCCTGTGAAGAACATTGTGGCTGTGGCAGAATGCCAGACCTCTGAGCAACTGGTACAGGAATGACTGCAACAGACAAAAATTTATATGACGCACATGCATTGCAGCCGGGTAACATGGCACGGCTATTTGCGACAGAGTATCATTGTATTTGTTAGTACACAACTGACAGTATCAGTAAAAGTATTATTTAATGAAGTTTATCTGGCCCTTTTCAGAATGAAAGGGTAACTAGAATAATCTGTGGACGACATAAGATATGTGGTAGCTAACAGGGCGAATATTTTACCTTCACAACCTCAGCCTCAATTTCACCATTGCAACTGTCAAAGTACTTCTTCAGATCCTGGTCACAATACTCGAAGACAAGCGTGAGTTTACGTTCACTGTGCAAAACATCTGTCAACCTGCAAAAACGAAATCATTCATCTCTTGTTTGCAGAAACGTTTTGTTAACAGGGGAATGCTGCAGATTGCACACGGATAAATCTGAAAATAAACATACAGCACTATAAAGCCACATTGCTTTGAGATAAATGCCTGAAGATCTGTAAAATAGGTTAAAATGTACTAGCTACAACAAAACCTAACACTTTTAGCAAAAGGTGTTCTTATGTGCACAGCTTGATCTAAGATATTTGGAAGGTGACTTATTATATGCATACTATATGCAGGGTTCTTGTTAACTTTTGACAAAGCAAGTAATTTGACAATGAATAGCAGGTAACTGTTTTTCCGGCACGGACGGTAGAGCGAGCGGCGAAGGCGCGAAGAAAATTTCTGATTTGACCCACAAATAGCCTATTTTGATGGGTATGGGTTCTAGAATTTGGTAGTTTAGATAGGAAAATATATGCTATTAAGTATCTAGTATAAAAAGAAAAATCATAAATGTCAAGTAAAAGTCCAGGTAACAGTGTATTTCCTCTTTATTTTAGTAGTATCTGCCAAGTTGAGAATTCAATTATCACTGCATTTTTATAATCTAATGTGGACTGAAATATATTCTATTAAGTATTACAGTTACTACCCGCCCGTGCACAGTTAGTCTTGGGTTGGAAGTATTTAAAATAAACTTCGTTTTTTCAAATATGGATTAAATATTTTACCGCCTTTAGTGGGAGTTTCTCTCAAATTGATAGCCGGTAACAAATTGCGCGATAGGCGGTAAAAATAACCGGTTACCGGCTATTAACAAGAACCCTGTATATGTCACAAAAATTGCAGGACATTAGCCAAAACCCACCAGAAATGTGTTTAGCTCTGGTGCATCACATTTCTAATTGATATCCCATCTTCCACCGTTCTTAGTGTCACAAGTTCACAAACAATCTTCTCAACATAGTTACTTAATGACTGTTACCGCAACTGAATCAATAAGTTGCTAGTTTCTGCTACACAGTCACTTATGCAGGGATAAACAACCAAATGCAGCCAGTACTTATGCTCTTACCTGACAATGTTCTTGTGTTTGAGCTCCTTGAGAAGACAGATCTCTCGCAATGCAGAGCTTGGCACGCCCTCATCATCATCATCGAGGCGCACCCGCTTTAAAGCTACTATTTCGTGATTCTCTTTGTTCTTTGCTTTGAACACAGTACCATACGTACCTAAAAGTGTACCCATCAAATAGTGTACAATTACAGAATGATAACTGAAATTTTTCAACATTTGCATGGGTGTATGTGAAAAAAATATCTATAAAATCCTCCACACTCGCATACCAGTGCAGTTAGAGGTTTGTAAGCTCATACCACAATTTACAGATTATTTACATCTGTCTGAAAACCTTTATGTACAATGGCTATTCTACACAAGTATTTCCTGACGTGCCTCTTTTGTCTTTTAGCTCCATTTGTAATTATTAGTTTGACACATTTTATCAGTCAGAGGTTAGCAAACGGAAGCATAAAGTGTAAATCTTACTGAATTACTTATAGTACGGTATTTCTACGCTTTTTATTGTAAGTTTGTGCGCGTAGGGTGTTTGCACTGACATATTGTGTGCTGTAGAGTGTTTGAGCAGCTTTTATGAGAAATTATTATGCATAATCATAATGTTATAATGTCTGGGTGCATGAGCAAGTTTGCTATGCCTTCTCTCTAACAGCAAACACTTGCTGCCTGGCAAGAACTTCATTTCTAACCCTGACTTAGGTAATTAATATAATTAATGTTTTATTTACATATTAAAAATGCCGGTGTACAGTATGAGTATAAACCTAAAGCCATTATTTTTTAAATGCAGAGCCAGAGGAACGAAGGCTATGGCCATGGCTATGCGTAGCTATAGTAACTATAGCCCGCGTACAGTTGCCGCTGGGCTATAGGACCAGCCATTAGGGATGCGCGGGACCAACTTACTGACGCTTATTCACGACTATAAAACGTCTGTGGTACGCAATTAATGCCTCTTATCCGAAGTAAATATGTCTCAAGTTATATTAGCTACTAAAATTTCACCTCTAACTATCGTTGAAATGTTCTACTTGCGGTATTTCTGGTGAACGAGCATTCGATTTGCGAACTTCAAACGGCCATTTTAGGCGCGCTTTGAGCGGGAACTATGTATTTCCGCACGTGGAGGGGTGGGCGGGTTGGGTTAGTTGTGGACAAAAACATTGTTGTTGTCAAGTAACAAATTAAGCGATCAAAAAAGATTGTAATATTAGTTTTGTTATGAAAGATGAACAAATTACTATTATTAATTTGTTACTTGACAACAACGTTTTTGTCCACAACCAACACAACCCGCCCACCCCTCCACGTGCGGAAATACATAGTTTCCGCTGACTGGCTGGAGTAAGTTGGTCCCGAGCATTCGTAATGGCTGGTCCTATAGCCCAGCGGCAACTGTACGCGGGCTATAGTTACTAGAGCTAGGCTATGCGTTACCATAAAAGTAACGCTGTGGCTATATGCCCTGGCAGCCGGGCACAGTCTTCGATTTCCTAAATGCCCGGCAGTTCCTAACCCTAACCCTAACCCTTGTTTACTTGAGATAACGCTGAAAATTAAAAACTGCCGGGCATTTACGAAATCGAAGACCGTGCCCGGCAGCCGTCAGATATATGCCGGCTGCCGGGCATATAGCCACTCTGTAAAAGTAATTCACCAAACGAACTATGACAACTCGCAGCTAGGGCCTGCATACCTCCCAAATCCCATTGGTTGATACAAATCACGTGCCTGAAACTCCTGTTTTAATAAAACTTTTATGGTGCATTGTGACCCTAACCCTAATCCTAACCCTAACCCTAACACTAATTACAATTTAATTTAAAAAATTAACTATATTTGTATCAACCAATGGGAGTTGGGAGCACTGGCAGCAAGAACAAGCCCGCACGTACAGCACACACGCGGCCATTGACTATAATAATAACATGGTGCCCAACTCGCCACCGCAGTTTTCACAACTCACCGTTTTCAATCAGCTACAACTCCGGTGTTCCTGCAGGTGACGCCACTTTCCAACTATCATTGGAATCGCGGAAAACTGCTGAACAAGTTACACCCGCCATTTTTGACAATCGGCCCGCCAGAATGTGTTCAAATCACAGAAATTCCTCAAATATACATGCAAAATGATGCTACCAGGCAAACGGGCGGCTTGCCCAATCGCTGGCGGCTGCGATGATTGGCCATAACTTACCACGCGCAGCCTGTCTGCACGTTAAACTTGCTGCAGCCGCCAGCGATTGGGCAAGCCGCCCGTTTACCTGGTAGCATCCGAAGCATCATTTCCCATGTATATTTGAGGAATTTCTGTGATTTGAGCGCATTCTGGCACGCCGATTGTCAAAAATGGCGGGTGTAACTTGTTCAGCAGTCTTCCGCGATTTCAACGATAGTTGGAAAGTGGCGTCACCTGCAGGAACACCGGAGTTGTAACTGATTGAAAACGGTGAGTTGTGGAAACTGCGGCGGCGAGTTGGGCACCATGTTGTTATTATAGTCAATGGCCGTGTGTATGCTGTACGTGCGGGCTTGTTCTTGCTGCCAGTGGTTGGGAGGTATGCATGCAGGCCCTAGCCGCGAGTACTATGACAGCACACTTATGGTCACATACTATAGCTGATAGGGTCTATGTCCCCCAGGGTACTGCCGTAACGTACCCTGGGTACGGTCCGGTATACCGGAACGTACCCTGGTCACTATTTGATATGGTTAGGGTTAGGATTAGGGTTAGGGTTAGGATTAGAGTTAGGGTTCGGGTTAGGGTTAGGGAGTAGGCGTAGGCGACTCCCTAGACTCGTTAGTGGAGTAGGCGAGGTACGGTCCGGCATATAATATAGTACCAGGGTACGTTCCGGCAGTACCCCGGGGGACATAGACCCTCTCAGCCACACTATATGGCAAAACTGCAGTATATTAATGTTGTGCTACTACTACTAGTACTAGTACTACTATATAGTACTAGTATTACTATTAGTAGTACTATTACTACTAGTACTACGACTAGTTTATAATTTTGAAAGTATTTCATTTTCAATCTATTAATAGTATTATTACTATTAAGTATTAGTAGACCTAGTAAGTGGCCTTATCGGTTCAAGGATAGAGAACATAGGTCCCAATAAAACCAATGTCATTTACATCAATATAAATATAATATTATATCAATATAATAGGTTAGGGTTATGGTTAGGGTTCAGGGTTAGGATTAGGGTAAGGGTTAGGGTTAGAATTAGTGTTAGGGTTAGGTTTAGGCACATTGGTTTTATTGGGACCCATGTTCTCTATCCTTGGGCCGTCAGCGAAATGCAATCACCAAATCGCTTATCCACGATTGTCGATTAGATAATACGGCCCAAGGCACCTGTGCACCACGCCATGACATATTCACCTTCCCCTATTTTCTCCAGTTTTTCATATTTCTGCATAGTTGACTTTGGTGATCTAAGAATATCCAAATTTTATAAGTAATAACGAAAAAAGTATCAATCTCTAGTTAAATGACACATTTTCACGTTTCTTGTTTATGACCTATGTGACCTATGACCCTCACATACACTAGCGATCCTGGTGGTAGAGGGGGATTTTGAGCTCGAGCTCGACCAAAGCTCGACTCTTAGAAGGACCCCAGTCTTTCGTATGGTAGCCGACGACGGTATGAGAAACGACGTATGTACAATCTACGTCATCGCTGTTGCGCTATGCGTTCACCAATGATGTATCCGTTATGTATCCAAGGATGTATATCCTTGCGTTCACCTGTCATCTCCGGTTGAATCATCGGTTCTGAAAATAGAGGAATTTCATTGACGTATTTCGGACAAGTGACATCAATGACCGCATCATAATATCGTTGGTGACGTCTCAGGCATGCAGGATGGACAGGATTTTGTTGTGCAATTTCCGTTGCATTCTGATTGCCTATAAAACGCCACGGTCAATCTTGGTAAGGCATTCAACTTACGGAATGGCTATGCATCTTTCTTCTGCGTTAAAACGCTTCACTATGGTTACAACTAGCAAGGTAGGTTACATACATGGAGAGTAAACTCGTTGACAGCAGTCATACTGTTATTACTGTGATACTGTGTCATACTGTGATTACGGTTAGTTACGAACCATTGTTAGATTGGATTAGTTACGCCTTAGATTTTATACTGTACCTTTACTCTAGCGGCATTCCTCGACCAGTGTAGCGTCAGATTTTAACATTTTCTATGCTAGTAAAACCAAAGGCCCTATGGCTATAGTATTAGTATACTATGCCATGGTCCGTAGTCAACTCTACTGGCCGGCCAACCCGACCCGTGGGTCGAGTTGACTCGCCCGGAGGTTGGACAGCTCTCGATCCCCATGACCTTCGTTCTATGACAGGATCGACTCTGCAGCAATGTATGAGTGCATCCAGTGAGGAATATTTTCAGCATGTCGCGTGCCTGCTTATTCCATTCAAACAATTGGCACCACAACGCCAGCAGCATGAGACACATAAGTTGCTATAAGAGACACCCAAGATTCAACTGGCCACAAATTTCGACATACCGACCAATCGGTATATTACACTATCAGTAACTCATACCAGATCTAATCAGTTCAAAACAATGCACCAATACTCCCCCACTACTGACACATTCAAGTACGGTACCTACAGTATATTTTCACATACAGTACTTGGGTGGAACATGCTACCAGATATATAGCTAAGGCCTGTACCTTGAAAATGCTCAGGAGGGAGCTAGCTATCTTTCACGATAAGCATCACAAACAGCCATCTGCAAGTAGGGCTAAGAGGGTCTATGTCCTCCGGGGTACTGCCTGAAGGTACCCGGGGTACGGTCCGGTACACCGGAACGTACCCTGGTACTATCTAATATGCCGGACCGTACCTCGCCTACTCCACTAACGAGTCTAGGGAGTCACCTACGCCTACTCCCTAACCCTAACACTAACCCTATCCCTAATCCTAACCCTAACCCTAATCCCAACCCTAACCATATCAAATAGTGACCAGGGTACGTTTCGGTATAACCGGACCGTACCAGGGTAGGTGAGGATGGGATGTTGGATGAATGGCATGATGGATGGATGGATGGTGATGGATGGATGATGCATGGTATGGATGGATGATGGATGGGATGGTGTGTGGTGGGTGGAGGATGGTAGTAATGTGTGTGCGTGGGTGGGTGGATGGATGGATGGATGGATGGATGAATAGATATGGATGGATGGATGGATGTGGATGAATAGATGAATGGGTAGCGCAGGGATGTATATAGTTGTTAATCTTGTAATCTATTTGTAGAGACTGAAGCAGATGCCAAAATGAAAGACAATCGCCCACTACAAGAAGGACTGCAACGGGCAACATTTGGGCTTGGATTGATTCTGGGGCCCCGAGCACAGTTTGGTTGTGTCTCGGAGTCAGATACACCAGAGTTGGCGTACACCGGCGGCCAGCACCAAAAACCCCACATATCATAGCCATGTAGGGGCAACTTTATTGTCAGTTCTGGCCAGAGTAGGAGTATTTAAAACATTATTTTTTGCATGGAATCAAAGGATTTTATCCATTATCCTGTGTCCAGTTTGTGAGGATTTTTAGCTCATTCTGACATAGTCAGATGCAGCTTGTAGAATCGCCACGATCGTCCGTTCGCTCCGTCCGTCAACAGCTTGGGCCCACAAATCTTAACGCTCGACGTACGGTCACGATATTGCGCACATCGGGGGATCGTCAAAAACGAGTTGGGATGTCAAGCTGGGGTCAAGGTCAAGGTCAAGAGGTGTAAAAGAAGGGGGAACATTCACTCCTTAACTTAAGGTATAGGGAGGAAATGCAGAATTGCGGCACAAATCTAAACGGCTCGACCTAGGCTCGTGATAGTCGGTGTATAGCATCATGGTAGGAAAAGCCATCACTGTGCCGAAATTGGAGGCCACAGGTCAAAAGGTCAATGGGCACAGGGCAGATTTCAAACATTTTCTGAGGACATGGTCTGAAGAGGGCGATTGAAAAATTTTTGTTTCAGCGGGTGACCTAGCATTTTATGGCTTTATTGAAAGCACCAGGAAATGCTCCCTTCTGCTGAAATTGCGAAGAGTAAGTGTCGGATAAACCTTTTGACCCTCAAGAGGAGGGTTAAACATGGATTTGTTTACTGTCTGTTAGAAAGAATTGACTGCGGTGTTGCTAGTGAGAATCGCTGGATTAGTAGCGGGCGGGACAGAGCGAGGCAGTGGAAATTTCAAAGCTAAAGTTTGGTGTGAAGAAGTTTATGCTCCGTAAATCCTATAATTTCTATGGCATTCTGTACTGTCATATTTTACATGTTACGTATGCACTGCCAGTGCGCCACTGCCATGGCATGTGGATGGTGGCTGTTTAGTTTTTGCCTGCGGTAATTAGTTACAGGTGGCCAGCTCTATTGCAGCCTCTAGGCTTGCGTAGGTAAATGGATGAGTGCTTACCTATTCTGTCTTGCAAATAGTTGTTGCTACTACGTACGATGGGAGCTTCCATCTTTAATCTGAAGACACAAACGTACGCGCATTCGTCGCAACTTCATAACGATGCCAACAAACATTTCTTGAGAAGGTTCCTGATACATCCCTGTGCATTCCACTGTTTCGGCGTGTATGTGAAACACATTTGGGACTAACAGTTTACTAGAATCCCACCACTCCACCACAGCACGTCACCGCAGCTAGACATTAGATGAGCGCTGGGCGCTCCGCGGCACTTGTTTGTGAGAGAGATACTGCCATATGATATAAACAATAATAGAGCATTCACTAGTTTGGTAGTTACTGTCATCCTGTTTGCATTCACAATATTATTAGTGTATACATAGTAGACAGCACTGACTAAATTTGTTGCATAACCCAAACACTAAAATGTTTACTTGTAGTGGTGACCAGACTGAAGCCATCGAGGTTGTATTTATGCGAATCTGTGCGTCCTACGGGATATGCTGAAGGTGTTCTTGGCAGTTAGCGCGTCCACACCATAACTTCAGCCGACAGTACATGTCGCGGCATCTGGGACCACAACGAGCACAAAGAGGGCTGCAAAGGCGAGCCTGACTATGCAGCAGAAAAGCAGTGCCAGACCAATCTCCTCGGCATTCACTCTGCTGGGAAATTCTACCAGGCAGAAGCAGTGAGTGTTTAATTCCTTCTATTTATTCAAAATCAGCATGGTGGCAAGTCTGTTATTTATTTACATCTATAGAGTCTGAGTCCCTGCTCTCCTTGTTAGTTGCCTTTTGACCAGTTGTGGCCCTGTTAGAATGATCATTTTACATTTTCACCACTGATATATCTGCTTGTCTTATAAACCACAGCAATGACCCACAGTGGCCTATTAGTTTATTGTGCAGTAGTAATGATTCGCAATGTAATTTAAGGATTTTGATAAAAATCTTATCAATTTGTTAGGCACAAAGAAATCGATCTACAGTCACATATAACTTATCTTCTTACTGTAGAGCAAAACGGGATGTGATGGTTATTGTGGGTGGCATTAAAAAAATGTGCGTAGCGCTATAATTACATTTTGCTGAATATTAAGTTTACTGTAGCTTTGCTTCAGTCAAAGTTAGTATCTTGCCACCACTTGTACCAAGTCCTGGCTTTTGTGTTGTAAAATTATTATCTTTCATCCTGTTGCAGTTATCATCAGAAGTCCTGCTGAAGAACACCGCCTCGCTGGTTGAGTCCTAGCAATGCACGAGGAAGAGCTGGTCACTTCACCGATCGCAACACGCCTTACAGG